CATGGTCAATATCCAATATTTATATCCTCAACAAAGTTTTAGTGAACAAAAGGCTATCTCTAAGCAAAGCTGTCTGATAGATTACTATCTAAGCGTTAGATGTGAAGACAGTTGTTTTCAGATAGTCAAGGCGCAGAACTACTACACGCGAAGAAACCAAGGAAGAACTCAAAGATCATTGCAAATAAGAACTCTGTTGATAGTCGAAATTTCTTTACTTTATTTCTATTCCCCGAGGCATGTCAAGAGAAGAAATTTAGATTTTCAGGTTAAACTAGCAATTCCTTTATTTGGTCATTTTTGTATTCATCCATTAGTGCCTAGCATTCGCCTTTTACAAACAGTTCAGTACTAATACGTGCACTTACCATTTCTTCCTTAATAATTGGTTCCGGTACGTCGCGCTGGACGTCTGTAGTCAACCACCAGCTGGATAAGCCTTTGGGCAGTTTAAACATACACTCTGGAATTTTAAACCAATAAAAATGGCTGTAACAAATCAAACGCGTCATTGCCACCTATGGATTTCTGAACGTGTGGATGGTCCTGGCTTGCTGCGGAGAGGTCTTGAAGAATACCTTGATGGCATTTGCGATACCGTCCCGGTTTTGATGTTGATCGTCCAAGTAATGTGTAAAATGAAGAGTACCGCGTAGGAATAGAGAGTCCACCCGTATGTAGACGTTCATCCTTCAACGCCTTTGCAAAGTTTGACGAGGCGCTCATATGATGTACTATATTCCTTACGGATGCTACATGAAATGCACATTATCATTTTTTGATGCGATCTGTTTTGACGGCTTACACGGTAGACAGTGGACCTTATACAGTGTCCTCTTCGTAACCTTATAACATCGAGCGAGGGATAGGTGGGTTTGGAAATGAAGAGAAAAAGCGTCATGTGCTCTATGATCCATGTCTTGCTGAGATCTTTTGTGGAATACTCATGGAGACATGTTGTTTAAATTCGATCACGAACAGTTGTTTAGCTGATTTAGTAGCATCCTTGGCTGGCAGTGTATAAGCAAACAGGGATCCGCTTCCACTTTTTCGAGCATTCCCCAAAGTCAGCTAAACGCATTGCCCTGTTGCATCTCTATAAAATAGCTTTATATAAACCGACTGTAGACGGTACTTCCGGTGAGAATTCTCCATGTAAAAGTGTCGTTAAGGACAAGGAATTGGGAAAGGGGACATGATGTTGCGAAAGCTTGGTTTGAATGACAGGAGAAGAGGAGACGCCTCCATGGATGTCGCGAACTTGACGACAACTTGATGATTTCGGCTTACTAACGCAGTTTGAGGCGAATGAACATGCCAAACTGATGATGGGACCATAAGTAGCCACCGCCTCCTAAGAAGTTTTGCGAGGAGACCACGTAGCAGTTTTACGGTGCCACATTGCTGCCATCAGGGCGGTAGTAAACTCCCTGTATATTACGACATCAAGGTCGCAACATGCGATGAGCGTAGCTCGCGCTGGATCCAGCTATCTCGCAGTGTGCCGTATCTCTCAACATGCGAGCCTGAAGCGGTGCGAACACCTCACAACATCGGCGCCTTTTTAGGAGGATGCGAGAATGTTACGAGGTTCGCGATGTTGTGACATCGCGACAGGCGCGAGGTGAACTAGTGCGCGGATTGCAGAGAATCAGGCATGTTGCGAGATCATGAGATGGAGCACGCCATGTTCGTAACATTCCATACGGATAGTTACATTGCAGGCTACACATTAATGACGCATGTTTTATCAGCTGGTAGAGGGAAATTTCTTATCATTTTTAGACTTTCAACTCCTTTTTGCTTCACATCAAAGAAGTCTTTGTTTAATTTTAGAGTTTCCAGTGATTATATTTGTACTTAGGGGCACAGTAAATATAGTTCTGTTAGCCTCATGAAAAATAGCTCCCAATTCGAAAACTGGGTTGTCTTGAGAGAATAAGCGCTTCTTTTGCTTCTCTCTAATTTATGTATGCCAAAGTTTATTTTGAGTGAGTGAAATGTAGCAATTAAATGGTTTTTCCAGTTTTTTCTAGATCCAAATTTTTTCTTGCTTTCGCGTTTATATATGTGTGCCAATGCATTGATTCATTGACGGAATCATGATTCGGTAGATCAAATAGACCATGAGACCCAGCCGCAATTTGGTACTTTATTATACTTTCAGCTGAAGAATTAAACATCAAGACTTTAGTGACAAGTGATGTTTATATAAAGGTGGTCGCCCTTCTTTTTAAAATGGCATTCCATCTTTTGGCATAATGAGATTGCCATTTTGAAAAGAAGGGC